GCATTTTTAATATCTGTTTTTTAATTATTTATAGATTGTATTCATGTCTGGAGAGACCTGTGTTTTTTCTTCTTTTTTATTATTGTGAGCCGCCCACAGTCACCCGTTGGGGGAGATGGGCGGCATACAAGTTTGATGATAAATAAATAATTTAATTAATTAAGCCCACAAAAGTGCGGTTAGTCATTTCTAAGCACTGCAAAAGGCAGGGCATAATTTCCCCACATCCTCCTTTCTCTCCCTTTCACATACTATTTTTCAATTTCTTTTTTCTTTCAAATTACAGGATGGGGAGAAGGGATGGAGAAATATGTAGAGGACTGACACTTTGTGTTCTAATCAAAAGGATCAATTTATCAGAGTTTCCCCAATCACAGTATTAGGGAGAGGAATATTAGGTTGCTGTTGCCTGCAAATGTTATCATCCTAATATCTAATATCATTTTCTAATTCTTTTTAAAATAAATAAATTACACAAACTGCCTTTTTTTTCAGAAATTGGAAAATAAAACAATCTTACTTTGAAATGCTGTTTTTTGGAAGTTGGGTTTTTTTTTCAAATGTTTCTTATATGTTTTTATTGGTACTGTGAGCCAACCAGAGTTATGGTATATAAGATGAGCAGCTATATACGTTTAAAATAAAATAAAATAAAATAATAAAATAAAATAAAACCTCTGCATATAACTTCTGTAATTTGGCAGGTATTCCATCAAGAAGCACCTTACAGTTTCATAGACATTCACTAAATAATGGGTGGGATTAATATTTTGATTCTCACACAAGCATGCACAACACAGCCGCACACACTAAAGGCCTCCTTTGCCAAAAAACCCTCTGTGCCTCTCTGCCTGCAATTGCACAGATGGACGTAAGGGACAACTCTTCCTGCAAATGAAATTTAAATTTGTCTAAAACCAAAACAACAAAGGCACTTATTTAAAAAAAATACTCCTGGCAACTATTGCTCTGAAATTGGGCAGGCTTCACCCTGCTTCTTATTGGTTGAAGTGAAACCAGTTTCCAAATTACCAAACTGGCCTCAGATGTAATCTTCCAGTTGGTGTAACTTTAGTTTTTGATTCTCCCAACTCAAATTAAGTGTTTCCTTGGATGGGGAAGTTAGAAAGAAAAACCAGAATCTCAATGAACCCGAGTGAAATCCGAAAAGCTGAATCTTTATATGTAGGTTTTATAGATTTTGCGTAGTCTATTCTCCATTGGGGGTGGGGGTGCTGCTAAGAGTTATTTCAATGCATTTTGAACTTTTTCATGTCAGCTTGAGCATCCAGTGACCCAAATCAATGAAAATGTGAATCATATTATCCCTGATAGAATGCTATTTATTTTTGATTATTCTGTTGTACTAGATTAAGGGAGTGGCTGGGGGTGAAAGCTATCTACAATGGCCACCCTAGCTATACTGATTTTACCAGGGTCACAGGCTATCATATAATAGCTACCCCATTCAGTTACTCCAGATGTCCTTGGACATACAGGGCTTGTGCATGACAAATTAGCTGTACATTATTCTAGAAAAACTTAGGCGGGTTTGCTAGAAATGTATTGGGCTGCTACTTATGAAGTTTTTAAAGAAACAAGTGTAGAAGTAGACACTTCTGAGACTTTATACCCTTGTCCTTGGAAATATGCATGTTGATTACAACAGGTAAAATCAGATAAACCTAAACTTGGAGCCATTCCAAAACCTGGGGAAGAACCCAGTCACCTAAACCTTCCTTCTTCCATTAATTTCATGGGAATTTATGGAATGGGAGGCTAAACTGGAGTCATTTACCACCTGATTGTTCATTCCATACTTTCTCTTCTCTACAGCTTGTGAAGGGACCGGTATTGGAAGTAAATATCAGACAGTGGATTCCAGCAACATTCACCGATTTATCAACTGCACCAAAATCTTGGGCAACTTGGATTTTCTTATCACTGGTCTAGAAGGGTATGTACGTGTGTGTGTGTGTGTGTGTGTGTGTGTGTGTATTATTTCAAATTATATCCTGTCTTTCTACCACTCAAATATGCAAGGACCGTGTCTCATTCTAAAACACAGCTATACTTGTTGAGTGGGACAATCTTACCTTGGGTTGTCCTCACATATCTCTGGATCCCACCAAATTGGAGTGGAGATGGATATAGCACCTCTTTTATCATTCTTCCTTTGCCATTCAGTTGCCAAGCATTTTTGTTGGAATTTGGTGATGTACAGGTAACAAGCATGAGGCTGTCCTTGAACTCATGGATGTTATATTCATAGTCATGTAAATAATCATACTTGTAATTATGGAAATAAACTGTTGGAATAAGTTATCCTGTAATATATGTTCCTATAATGAAATTCTTGAAGGAAAATGCTATCAGATTCCTTCTCAAGGTGCTCCACTGGTTTTGACCAGCTCCATTCTTCCAACAGAGACCCTTGGCACAACATAAGTGCCCTGGATCCAGAAAAACTCAATGTCTTCCGGACAGTGCGAGAGATCACTGGTGAGTTGGGGTGTAGAGAACTTTATACAAATATGGAACACGTACCATTTTGTGTATAGTGTAGATCAGGGTTCCTCAACCTCAGCAACTTTAAGATGGGTGGACTTCAACTTCCAGAATTCCCC